ATATCTAAACATATATATCTAATTAAATTGTCATATAGTTTTCACTTACAAACTTACAATATTCAAGCATGTAGAGCCAAATTCTGGTTTCAATCTCTAATCACGTTTATAAAAGACAAACTATTATGATAAACGTTATGAAGCTTATGAGAAAACTCGATTAAATGCATCCTGGTGACTTAGTTCGAGTCTGAAAGTTTACATTCATATCCTTGTCTAGCACGATTCCTGGTACAACTATGAAGTTTAATGTGTACATATTTTATAAATCTTCTCGCATTCTTGAATAATATATATAATAAAAGGTTTCGCAGCCTGGAAGCCACTGTTTGAAAATCACATACAAACAGACATTACATTCTAACTGTATGTTCAAGCAAGTAGTACGTTTATATGTGGAACAGATATATAAATTATTACGCGCGGTGCTCGAATGTATAATAGTATCGCTACATTAAACTTTACGCAGCTGAAATTCGTGTATGTTGATATGGTGAATTGAATTATGCATAAGGGAAGAAGTAGCCGGGTTTAATTAAAGCCATCTTTCTTGAAATATATTTATGTTGAGAGAGAACGTACATTCTACCGACATTAATTAAGGCTGCTTTCAATATTCTGTAGCTTCGTGAACACATGTTAGCAACAAATGTATAAATAACACGAAATATATAATAAAAGATAATGTAATGAAAATTCTTGAAAATATTGTTTCCAGCAAAATAAATGTGACAGATGGTAAATAATGATAAAGGGTACGTTCGTTCGTTTGGTAGTTGTTAAGCACAAAGTTACACAATGGGCTATCTATGCTCTGCCCACCACGGTTATCGAAACCTGATATATGCTTAAAGACTTACCGCTGAGCCACAAAATAGCTACGAAATTTATGGAAAGTACCACTTAAAAGCAACCAATATTCGATGTACTTGGATGAACTATAAGATCTTGTCTGGTATTGTTTTTAGCAAAATATTTAATGTCGAGTTTTGTTTCTGTTTTTTAATTTTTTTTCACTAACCTTTAGATAAAAAACGGCACTGTGTAAGTAAAGATAAAACATACATTGCAATGAATATCATCTTGTTTTACAGAGAAAAAAAAACACAGACATGTTTTTAACCATTGTTTTACAGAGAAACACACACACACACACACATTTTTAACCATGATACTTCGGCAACGGAAACAGTGCAGCTTTGTTCAAAATAACACTACACGAAAAGGCATTCATGACTCCTTTAATTATTACCGATAGGTTAAGCCTAAATCAACTAAAACAGACCAACATCGTGAAACTGCTCCCTCAACCTTTCATAGTAGCAGTGCAATCCTTTGCTCAAATCGATGGATTCTCCTGTGTTTTATACTCCATTTTCAACGTGTAAGTCATCATAAGAGACGACGCTTTGCATTCACGGCTGAGAAGTGACAGTTATGAGATTCAACCAACCTGTAAATTCCAGCAGTAGTATGGAACTCCCTGCATATAGTCTATATGTTGGCCTATAGTTCTGAATTGTTATTAATTCCTGGGAGAATGATTTAGTGTCCGGTGTGAATAGAACAGTGATTAATGTTTCGTTACCGGACCGATAATTATAACCACAATTTTCCAAATTTCTACAGCACATTACCCACAGGGGTTTAAGTATGAGTTGTTGACCAGTTGAAATCTGACGATAACTCATGCCACCAATGCTTCATCATCAAATAACCTCATTGAAGATCAGTGTGGTCGTTTCTCGTGGCATCTTAACCCCAACTGGAAGTCTGAAGCAGTTGCTAATTTAACAATGCTATACAGCTGCAATGCACCACGAAATTCACAAGTAAGTTCAGTTCAGATGGATCATGTCCATCTTGGTGCCATTGTTGCCCAGTACAGGAAATGGATCATAGAAGGAACGTGTTAGTGTATTTTCCCCTTCAAATTTAAAACAAACGAACAAAAAAGGTTTTATTAAATAGACATTATGCAGAGGTTTTAATTGACACTTGTATATTTCGGGCCGAATTAGATGGCCAAAAAGCTAATAATCAGTCAGAGGTTTACTAGCCTATAAGTAGTAATGATTGATAAACCTTTGATTGCTAATTAGCTTTTGGGTCATATAATTTGGTGCGAAATATTAAAGAGTGCAGAGTTTTGGTTGTCTCCTATACATCTATCACTATAAGAAGAGTCACAACTAATGTTAATGTAGCTTATAAACAGCTGTAAGACTTGAATCTTTTACTTTGTCTATGTATATATATATATATATAATGCACAAAAATCTGTCTGTGCGTTATCTAACTACTCCTAGGTCACTGGGCCAATCCCAGCCAAAGTTTATGGGATGATAGTCTGGAACAAGGGGCATATTAATGCGGGGTTCTCAACCCCGCTACTCCCCATTTGTTTATACATTTCAATATTTCTTGGGATGAAGTCTCTGTACCCACTGCTTTTGCTTTTCCTCTTTTCTTAATTTTTTTCTGTGATGAAAACGTTTAGTTCCTCCACAAAAACCGAAGTCGATTTATGAAGCGTACGAGTTTAAGTTTTATTCATTTTTTCCAAAATAAATTTTTATTCATTAATGATTGAATTCGAAAAACCGATTAACTGACTAACTGATTAATCAAAACCATGCACGAAATGTAACCCTCCTAGAAAGGGTCAATTTTAGGTGTCATTTGTACTAACAAATCCCAAACTTCAACTATTTTGCAACAAGTAGGGTCAAAAGCTTTAATCTAGATATGAGGCTATGGTAATGGTCAAGGACAAAGAGAATGGATATGCAAATCGTTACAATAAACCGTGAAAAACCCTCAAAAGCGGCCTTAAGCGAGTTCTGTAGCATATTTTGATATAATCTGGAAAAGCATACTTAGCCAATAAGGTTAAACAGTAAGCAGTATTATGTACAACAATCTGAGGTAACCGTCCTTTGTCTGGGTTATGAACTTAAAAAAATATGGGAGTGGATGCTATGATAAATAGCATGATTCACACAATTTATTTATAACATAACATATTACTACATTATTAATTATTACTTCACTAAAAGTTTTGTATAAGCTTTAAGAACTCAGTATGTATACACTGTGCGATGCTCATGATGACTTTCTGGGAAGAGGCAGTGGCAAAAGTAATGGCAGAAGAGGAGCTTTCTGTCACCTGCTTTCAACACCTAGCTCTTAATGTCCTCCTACAGTGTTTCACGTAATTAATTAATAGATGGTCACTGGATGCAGAAGTGTCTTACGGGCCAAAGTTGAAAGATCACGGGTACAAGTAGGAAGTTGGTATAACTCAAAACATGGCTCTTCATATCAGCCTTGGAGTAGAAACTTTAGCTGAGTTTATGTATTATTGCAATAGTGGTGATCATTTTTTCATTGCATTCCTACATAGACAGTACTAGCGCACTCTAAGACATATAAGTCGTTTGTGTAGCCTCCTCCCCACATTATGTATCTTGTGTTATAGAAAAATTTAATGATTTTTTTTCGTATGTAAGGACGTGGCGCCATCTATGAATGTAGTCAACGTCAACTACGTAAAAGATAATAAATGCTCAATAACAGCAAGGCTGTCTTGGAGAACATCAAAGAGCATTAGAAAAAATATTTAATGCTTTGATGACTATTCATCCAACTAGTGTAGAGGCAGAGAGACGTTTTAGTACAGATGGCCTCTTCGTTACAAAATTGCGCAGTCTTTAAATGATAATACTATTTACCAGCTGTGTTTTCTTCAGTCTTATCTCGTGCAAAATAAACGATAATGAGAGGAATAGCTGTTCTAAAAACACCAAGGAACATCCGACTTCATTATAAAATATTTTGATGTGATGTTTGTACCTACAATTAGTGTGGAGACAAAGAGGTCTTAGTAGTTTTACCTCCTTAGTCTAGATACAAAACTATGCATATTTCTGAAAATGATATGGTTAACAAGCTGTATTTTTCATTGATGGTATGATGTAAGTAAAACAATAAAAGTCTTTCACATTTTTAGAAATTTTAATCATCTGAGGCAGTTAACCATTGACTAGTTGGAAAATTTAATCATTTTTACCAAAAAAAATCATCAATAAACAATGCACTTTTATACAATCATGCAAGGCAGGAAATGTTAGCGTTTTAAAGAAAGAAATACCAGTAATATTGAACCCTATCAGTAAAACAAGTTAAGATGTTGTTTTAGCATGGAATAAAGAGGCTACTCCACGACCGAAAGTAATCCAAGAACACGGCGATCTATTGCAACTAATGTAGGAACATCTCTCGCAACTGTAAATAATCCTCTTTTATATGAAAAGTTTCTCCCAAAGTACATAGTACAACAGAAGGGCAATTTTCCAAAGCTGCACGAGCGGCATCTATCATGCGACAAAATTGACAGAAACGTGTCGTCACATTCAACAAAGCATATGTCTACTCTACTTAAGTGTCTGAAAATGTTCGAAGAATTCATTAAAGTTATGCAAATGATAAAACATTTCAATAATTGTACACAATATGTCGAAAAGCATTTTATCGTTGCAGATAATAACTAAGACGGTAAGTTACACATCAGGAGGATGGAGAAAAATGGCAAGATTAACTCCTGTATACAATCTTGTTAATCTGCTGACACCACTATAATGTGAGGAAGTATCATCTTTGTACTCACAAGATGCCACTGTCACGAAAAAGTATCCATAATATCATATGCTGAAGTCAATATGCCACTTCTCTGATGATGGAAAAAAGGCTGTTTAGCCTAAACACTCATTTTTGATTCATTCCCATAGGTCGTGAATATGTGAGCACCCCTCAGTGTGTATGCATGTGTGTGCGTGTATATATATATATATATATATCATTTAGCAATGGTAAGCTCACAAAAAGAGGTAAATCTATCCACTTATATGTTCTTCAAATTTGTGTATCACTATTAAATAAAATTTTTAAATATTATTATTCAATTACTGTTCTAATTTTTTTCTTCTTTTTTGGAACAGCTTTCCGTGTGCATTACTCCAGTCGTTGTAAGTATATATTTGTTATATTTTAAATGTAAAACAATACATAGACTTATTTTTTCAATAATTCAGTAAGAAAATGACTTAAAAGAGAAGTCAAATATTTCAAAATGTTCTGTTTTTAGAAATTATCATCACTGGAAATATGTTTTTCATAATAGACCTTTTAGATAATTTTGCATATATGATTATGTTAAATTTCCCTACGAATAAGGGTCGGACTGTAAATCCGAGGGTTTTATGACTTGTTTCTCATGAACGAAAAAAATCACGCTCCGCATAATGGTGCCGAAAGGCGTTATAAAAATGAAGGTCAAATGCTACTATTCGATTAGAATACATTAGAGTTGCAGGTGGGTATTATTGAAAAACTTCCTTTAACGTATCAATTAAAATTATAGGTGGCTACTGCAGATACCCCTTGCGCGACTATCGGAAGCAAACAAACCGTACTAGAACGTTTTATAACTTTAAGAAAGAAATATTTCATGGGACTTCATTTGTTTGTTAAATTTTGCGCAGAGCTACTCGTTGATATCTATTCTTGCCGTCCCTAACTTAGAAATGATAGACTAGAGGGAAGGCAGCTATTCAACACCACCCACAGCCAACTCTTCGATTACTCTAATCGAACAGAGGGATTGACTTTTACATAATAACATCCCCACGGCTAGAAAGCCGAGCGTGATGTGAGTGATTTCATAGCCATCTTTACTCTGAAATATATATATATATATATATTTACAATAATAATTGTTTTTATTATATATAATTTTTAAATAGATTTTCATTAAAACGTGACCTGTAAGTTGATAAATTTTCCCATTTTCCAGATGGAAATATTAGAAGAGCTCCAGCAAATTGTCGAAAAATGTGTGAATCAGGTGGAGGGTTAATAACTTCATATGGCCTAAGATGAGGTAATAAGTCAGTCTTGTAGTGGAAGAATACTCAAACTTTAGAATGAAAGCTAAAGATATGAATCAACTGTTATATAATTTGATTAATAAGTCAGTCTTGTAGTGGAAGAATACTCAAACTTTAGAATGAAAGCTAAAGATATGAATCAACTGTTATATAATTTGATTAATAAGTCAGTCTTGTAGTGGAAGAATACTCAAACTTTAGAATGAAAGCTAAAGATATGAATCAACTGTTATATAATTTGATTAATAAGTCAGTCTTGTGGTGGAAGAATACTCAAACTTTAGAATGAAAGCTAAAGATATGAATCAACTGTTATATAATTTGATTAATAAGTCAGTCTTGTAGTGGAAGAATACTCAAACTTTAGAATGAAAGCTAAAGATATGAATCAACTGTTATATAATTTGATTAATAAATCAGTCTTTATTGGTGTTCATTCTTTTTTTTTTTATTAATGTCACTAAAACACTATTATATTGCATTATCAGTATGATATTATAAATGTATTTTAATTTTTCATCATTGATTGATGTTTTTCTTCTGTAAATGATGCCGTTTGATGATTAGCCAGACATTCTCTAATTGGCCAATCAGTAGTGAAAGAATTCAGTCTAACAAATTTAAAACTCAAATATTTTTAAACACCTATTAATCCATGCATTTTAAATTATCACGATTATTTGCCATGACAATTAATAAGTGTTATTAAATAATTCCATATTGTGAAACGTCTGATTGGATCTTTTTTCTTTCGTAGCTTCGGTTTACACCACACCGACCACATATGCACGTCGTTAATTAAGTAAATAATAATTGTAGAATCTGATCTGTTAGTAATTGTTTCGGTAATATATGAAGTGATCATTTTGCAGTTAATGTAAAAAATATTTTTATTCCTAATAAACTGAGTTTTTCATGGTTTGAGTTCAAACCTCTACAATAAATTGTTTGTTCATATTCTTTTCATGATGATTTCATGTCTAATATGTTACTTAATTACTCTCGCCCCCGGAGGGAGGGTGAAGGTATTGCAGTCGGGTCAGTGTGTGTGTGTGTGTCTGTCTGTGTTTCCTCACGCGTATCTGAAAAAATAAAAGACCGATGTACTCGAAAACTTTACACAAGATGGGAAGTCAGTATGGGACAGTCCTCCCCAAATTTTGTCCAGATCTAGATCTGGATTCTTGTTCACTTTGAAACATATTTTATAATGGGGAGATAAGGCATTTTTTACAGTTTTGGGCTAATAATTCTGTAAAGTGTGATCGGATTTGTACAAACTTCATGAGCACATTAAGGTTGAGACTCCTTACCACACTACAAAAAATGATCCGGATTGTTGATTATTCTGGATCTGAGAAGAATTTTCTGAGTATTTGAAGGTGAAATTTGACGTCAGTCTGAGCCATTGTATACATGCTTCAAGTAATTTCTGTGTAATTTATTGTATGCATGTTTCAAGTAATTTCTATGTAATTTATTGTATGCATGCTTCAAGTAATTTCTGTGAAGTTTATTGTATACATGCTTCAAGTAATTTCTGTGTAATTGATTGTATGCATACTTCAAGTAATTTCTATGTAATTGATTGTATGCATGCTTCAAGTAATTTCTGTGTAATTGATTGTATGCATGCTTCAAGTAATTTCTACGTAATTGATTGTATGCATGCTTCAAGTAATTTCTATGTAATTGATTGTATGCATGCTTCAAGTAATTTCAATATAATTGATTGTATGCATGCTTCAAGTAATTTCTATGTAATTGATTGTATGCATGCTTCAAGTAATTTCTGTTATTTATTGTATGCATGCTTCAAGTAATTTCTATGTAATTGATTGTATGCATGCTTCAAGTAATTTCTATGTTAGTTATTGTATGCATGCTACTGCTAAGCAATTACATATTGATTCATTATACATTTTTATTTCGTGTCATCATTTTTTAATGAAAAATAGATAACAATAAGTTATTAAAATTTTAAAATAACTTTTTTTGTTTACTTAACGATTTTGTTCGAGCTCTATTGAAATATGCGTAAATATGAGAAGCAAAGACTGTTGTATTGCTCCTTAAGCTCAGGTTGTTTAATTCATTTGCACCCGATTGCTTAGCAGCAAGCTTGAGGGCTTTTAACGCTAAAAATCCAAGTTCAGTCCCTGCGGTGCGTACAGCGTATATTGCCATTGTATAACTTGTCGTTCAACAACAACAAAACAAACTGTTTAGTTCATTAACCTTGATGCTAATATGTTTCCGACACCGATAATAAACTTACAGATCTCACTTTAACTAATTAAGTCGAGATTAGTGAAGCAGTGCAAATCTTATAACTAATTATAAAGTTTTTTGAACAAATTTAGTCGAATCAGATGGAATTATATATTTCTTAGCATTAGTTATCACAAGTGAACATCCACAATATCTATAACAACAGGTAAATTAACATTTACGTGTTCTCCTCAAAACATTTAAAAATATAAAATGTCAGTACTAGGATAATAGAACTCCTTTTTTTCTCAAAATAAATCATTAAGTCAGTCAGACGTATAACCAACAGTCAAAAGTACCCGTCCCCAGTGACAAGAAAAGTTTGAGTTAATCTATCAATTTAAATTATTTCATGAACTTTAAAAGGATAATTGTGTTGCACTCTTGGTTTCACTCAGAGCCACAGCTCCGAGTTACTTATACCGCCCACCGCGAGAAGTAATTGTTGAGCATTTCAGTCATGCTAAGAGCCGCTCAACAATAACATATGGTAAATCTACATTTTTATTCTTTAAGTTACGCCACATTTTGAAAAGTGAACGATAGTGTGATTAATTCCTAAAAATATTGTGTAGAATATCCTGCTTGCGAAATAAAATTTGGCATAATCATTATTCATGCCTGTTCTCCAGTCATTTCAAAAGTGAATGTTGAGCTTTGCCTGCGTGCGCAGCTTTTCAAACGGGTGATAGACTAACGCTCGAAGAGACACCGCGGTTCGCAATATATATAAGATACCAAAAAATGAACAAATTACCAGCAATACTTTAAAAGTTCATATAAAATAAGAGAAGAATGTTTCATCGGAGTTTCAAATGTAGTGAACAATTTAAAAGGAAATATCGAAAAACATGTAAATATCAGCTTAATTAAATATTGTTGTTGTTTTTTTATCATTTAGTTGGGTAAATATTTTCGTACTTATGTATTTGATTGAAAATTAATAACCCTGTGAATATGTTGAATATGATTAAAAAACAGATTTGCTTTGATCTCCAGCAAAAAAAGCTGCAAGTAATAACTGGAAATAAAAATAAAACAAAAACATTAAAGACAAACACATTTACATCTTATGTTTCTGGCAGATGATTTTAAAAATTTAGATAACAAATATATAAATTACACTTGTACACTGTGGATGGACTGTGACAACATTGTTCAGAGAATCACTTGCAAGTCGTACAAATTTAATTTAATTTAGCTACTGTTTCCTTGTAACGTTTCAAGATCTACGATCCTTTGAATTTATCCCGTGTATAAAAGCTAACTGTGCTGATCGGGCCTATAAAGTGCTAACAAAACTTGATCGGGGTTAAACAATGCACAATCAAATGTAACAGCACCTTAAAGGATCAAGTTTTTAATGTTTTCTATAAAAATTGAGAAATACTCACTGTAAAGAATCGATGGCAGAAATAGGCTCGAAAACCACACACTAAATTTATCATAATAGCTAAGTTAATCACAAAATGAAAATTAGAAAACAGAACCCTCTAATCCCAAAATATTTTCCGGTGGAGTTGAGCAGTATCTTTTAGTAACATATCTCTTCCAGTCATACCTCATATGGCCACATACCTGTCAAATTCTTCTTCTTCTTCCTCTCTACCAACACATCCCCAGTGAATTTTTGTGTTTTTGATCTGTTTAAATGAGCACTTGAAAGGGTTATTCGTAATACATTAACAGGTTTATGGAAGATTGCAGAAGCTGTTTTTGTGCAAAGCTACGCGGTGGTTGATCTACGCTGATTCGCCTACAGTGATCAAATTCTGGGTGTTAGTGTTGTAAGCCTTCATTCTTAACTATGAATTACTTGGTGATGTCTGCAGAAAATAAAAGGGAGAACATTGATATGGCTGTCTACAAAAAAGCCTGACCTCATAAAAACACCACTGTAAAGTCATTTCAAGAAGGAAATAGGTAAAGCTTGATCGTGCCAGCAGATCTTTACTTTATTTCTTCCAAATTTTATGATATATATTAATCCTGTTGCTAGTGGTATAAAGAAATGACCACTGAGTAACACTGAACAAAATTTGATGTGGCGAATTAGAAGCCAAACTGAATCTAAATTCAGTTTTACAACACATTAATAAAAATGATGCAAAGTAAGTAATGCCAAGTTGCTTTAGTTTGTTTTGTTTATGAGATATAACCTACTGTTTGAGCTAAAGCAGAATTTTTACATTTTACATTCAAGATGGACAGTATTGTTACGTCTCTGGTCGTTGGTTAATTTTCCTGTAAAAATTCTTTCCGAAAAACTTCAGCGATACAAGTCCTTTCTTAAATAAAACTAGTTTATTCTCTCTCAATACAACTTTGCAATACACTTAATTTCCACAGTCACTTTTACTTCAACACACGCTATAATTCACAAAGATTCACGCACTTTACTTACGACTTGACTCGATTATCTGTCTCTATCTCTTCAATCTGCAATTATTCATGCCGTCACTTCTTTTGCCGGCTTATATATACAAAAATAGAGGGCGCATAGAGAAGACTAGAGTTGCCACGAACAGACATAATCCTTCTAAAATCTCATGACGTGTTACTAGAGTCACGTGACTTCCGCTGTCGTAACAGTATTTTAAAAGAACAGTTTTGCACATCTCAACCTACGGAATGAGCAGCATCAGGCTGAACAGAAGTAAAAATTAAAGCCAAAACGTCTCCGGTGGATTATTACTATCCAGAGTTACGAAGCTAAAATCTGAGGCTGAATCCTCTGCAGTGAACAGAGGGACAGCCCCATATGTAATTTTGCGCTAAACAAACAACAACGACAAAGCCGAAACATTCTTGTAATTATCATAACCGAACCATATTAAACATAATTCTATATACTACGTCTTTTAGATATTGGGCGCAAGATTGTTATTCAATAATATTATGTATATTGTTACGACATCGAGGTCACGTGACTAGTATCACGCCACGTCATTCTCGAACTTTCACGTCTTTTCCTTAAATCTCGTGATCTTTCTAGATATAGTGTAGTCTTGTATATATAAGACCGGCCACGAAGCGACGGGGAGGTAATGAGTAATTGAATGTATGCGGATAAAATATTGTTGGCCACGTGAGACGTGAGTTATAGCGTTATTATAGAGCGACTATTGAAATTAAGTGTATCGTAAAGTTGTATTCGGAAAGAATAAACCAGTTTTATTAAGTAAGGACTTGTGTCGCTAAAGTTTCGTCGGAACGAAGTTACGGAAAGTTAACTAACGAACGAACAAATTGGTGTCAGAGAGTGAGACAAAAAATGGAAACGAGAAGCGGCAAATCAAACTACAGCCTAGCAGACTTGATGGCAGCAATACAAGAGCAGCAAAAGAAACAAGAAGAACGAGAAAAGAAACAAGAAGAAAGATTACAGCAGTTGTTGGAGAAAAAA